CACTGCTGGCATGGCAGCTGCCGCAGCCGCCGCAGCTGCAGCGAACAAACAGCTGATTCGTCCGGCGGGACGTAAAGGGGGCCCCCGGTGCAGTAAATAATGGAGACGAGTCGGCCCGATAGTCCCGCGGTCATGCGCGTTGTTGTTGTTTGTCTCCGGGAAACTGCGCCACACACTGCCAGATGCACTGCATGACGACGCGCAGGGGGTTTTATGCTCTATATGCGTCAGCGCAGGCACAAAAAAAACCACAACAGCAGGTTTTTGCAAGACAACAAGATTGCTCGTGAATTTTGCAGAAACAAATAAAATGCTTACATTTTTATGGATAAAATCTTAGCCATTTCAGGGAGAAATTCTTATTTTTATTTTTTTGTGTGTAGGCGCCGATGAATTTTCTATCTGGAAATTAATAAACCACCGCAGATCGGCGGGTGCCTCGCGTCCCAACATCGATCAGCTTAGTGCCCGCGCGGTGCTGGCGCTGCTGGCGGCGCTGGCGGGGGCCCGTGCAGCAGACCAGCCGAGCCAGCCGTCTCAAATGTTGTGGACAGAAAGAACGCCCGCTGTGTACCGACCTATTCTCTGCGAAGGGTTTATAACCCTGCGAGAAGGCTTCCCCTCCCCGCCCCGCATATGCACCCATCGAGGACCCCACAACTCGCCGCAAGAGGGAGTGTGTGTGTGCCATTTCCTACATATAAATATCCGGGGACCCCATCATCGGCAACACACGGCTGGGAAAATAAAGGCCGCGCGCTGCCGGGACACGAACCTTAATCCCTTTCAGCAAAAGTTCAACAACCATACGCCGGCCGCGGCGTGGCTCGATGGATTTTGCAAGGTTTTTGCACGTCTTTCATTTCACCTTCTCTCTCTCTCTCTCTCTCTCTCTCTCTCTCTCTCTCTCTCTCTCTTCAGAAACGAAACATCTCCCGCCTTCTCTCCATGTAACGCCTCGCCACGTCGACGCTTTGCGCACAAAGTGATTCAGTCCGGTGAGCGTTCCTCTTCCGCGACAAGCAGAGAGCGCGCGACACATTTGAATCAGCCCGCGCGATATGGAGACAAGCGACCCCCCGCCCGCCCTCCACCTTCCGTCAGCCGCCATACCGCCTTCCTGATGCGGGTATACAATCAATTAAAGCGGTAATGAAGAGGGCGGTGGGGTCATTAGTCAGCCGGGGGCGTGGCAGGGCGTGGCGGGGCGTGGCGGGGCGTGGCGGGGCGGAGCGTGGCGCCCGCAAGGACCAAGGACGGCACGACCGCACCTCCGCCACCCCGCCGCCACGATAACCCCCACCACGGAGTGTCCTTGACCGAGCTCACGGGCATGTCCTGCTACACTGCCCATTTAGAAATTTGAAGTTTTGCTCAGTATTTTTTTGAGACCTTCAAATAAAATGTATTACGAATTTCACGTATCTTTATTTTCAAGTGTGGGTAGTTTTCACTGGCTTATTTGCTACGTAAAATGGAAATGAAAAGCAATTGCTTGCACGCGCGGACAATACCAACACCGCTCCGGCCGACTGCCCGCTGCTGCCCTGGCAATGAACCAAAGGCGATCGGTTGCGATTGCAGAGACTTTTTTTGTGAACGCGCAGTCGCGACTTGCACGACTTGACCCCACGAGCGCGGCGCGCCCGTACACCGCACCAGCCGCGGCTAGATTAGAAAAGTGTCCTTGAATCGGAGCATATCTCACCGCTGCGCGTAGACTACAGACCACATTCAGCAGGAAATGACACGCGTGTGGAGTAGTAAACCAAGTCGTCTTGGCGAGCCAAAAAACGGGGACGGAGCAAAATTGCAAGGTATAGCACATAAAACGGAGGTTCTCTCAGATTTCTAATCGACAACACGCACACATCCCGACACAGGTAGCAGCAGAAGAAATTTCACTCATCTCTTTTCCGCATCCTTTACAATTTTCCCCCGATACCATGCTCATGAAAGGCACTTCTTTTTCATGAGGGTTGTATCGTGACCTCCGTCCGGTGCCCTGAGTTGTGACAGCTTAAACAAGGGATGTATATGTCGGCTTGGGAAAAGAACATACGCATACTTGGATGCTTGTGGGCCCCTAGAGGAAGGGGGACGCCCTACGCTGCGTTCCGCTCTGGATGCGTTGCAGCTGTTTATGAAGTGAGGCACAATAACCTGTCTGCTAACAAGCCTTTATCGCTGCTTGTCCGCCGCACGGCGCCGGGCCCCGCCATGCCACACAACGCTGATTGACTTGCCGTGCATTAGACACCACTACCACTATAGCATGTTACCCACATTTTCTCCATGAAATGCCTTTCAAATTATCTCTGCATTTTAAAGCAATACAAAGAGTTCTACTCAGATTGCGTTGACATAAGTAAAAGCGAGCAGCAGATAAAGGGAAAGAGGAAGAAAGAGCCCTTTCGCGTCCAACAAAATTTGCACAGCGGGAAAATGCCAATTTGAAAAAATTACGTCGGCCGAGCAAATACGGAAAAGAGAAAAAAAGAACACTGAGCGCTTCTGCTGAGGTTACTGCCGCTTCTAGTGGTCGTGGCGGCGGCTGCACTGCACTCCGCGGCGCGGGCAAAACGTTAGTGACCGAAGATTAACGCCAAGTGAGACGATCCTATCTGTGCGCCCCGCTGGGGGTCCTGCTCCCGGGCGCCCCAAGGGGGTCCTGCCTGTCGCCAGGCCCGCCGCGTCGGGCAATTCAAAGTAGCGGTAGTTAAGGGCTGAAGGCGCAGCCAGCGCAGCCAGCGCGCTCGCCTCAGCCTTTTCCCCTCACCAAGTTTGGCTCTTGGCTAATTAGCGCTGTAACAAACAGCACTGCGATGGCTTCCACTAACGCCATCAACATTACCTCTGCCGCGCAGCATGTGAAAAAAATATCGCGCAGAGTGTGCAATGTCGTCGAGGATAAACGTCGACTCGTTTTGCAAAAAAGAGATTTGGATCTAACTCCATGATTATATTTTTCTTTTCGCCTGTTTGCAGTGGCAGCTGGCGTGGCGTGGCGCGGTGTCAAGACACACGACGGGACATAAACCCAGCGTCGAACGTTATTGCAATGACAGGCAGAACTCGGCGGTACGGGCCCGAGGGCCCCAGTATTTCCAACGCCGATACAAAGTACTCCTCGGATAACTGAGTACAACAACTTTCCGTGTCGGAATGAACACTCCAAATTCTGATTGCAATTAACTTTCCAGGGCCAGGTAGACAGCGCTGGCACAGCGCGCCCCACCCCGCCGGGCCACGCCACCACGCCACGACTGCAGACCTGGTGGTTGTGCAGTTGTGCACTCCTGTCCTTGCATTCCAAACACGTGTTGGGGGCCTGAACCTACACGAGCTCATTAAGGCACCTCTCTCTCTCTCAC